ACTTTCAGCAAATCAATGATGTTGTAACAAAGCATATTTGACGCTAATTGAAGGGTCGTCGTACTGTCCAATCTCCGGCGTCGATTCACTGTGCTGTGACAAGCTTCACAATCATTCACTGAAAAACATCGGCATATTTTGACAAAACGGCTGGGATTTGACCTCAGTTCAAAAAAAAAGAAAAAAGAAAAACTGGGCTGAGATACAAATCAGTTTTGCAAGTTGAGAAATAAGGTAAACCAGATTGGGGTCGATGATATTCAGTATCGAAGGACTTCCGTGTGTATAATGAGTTTCAAATTGTTCGACTGGTCACCAAATATTTACGGCTACAACTAAATAAACACTTTTTTTCTGAAGCCCAATAAATTATTTCTGCACGTCAAGTGCTATTCGATTTTTTACCAGGCCTGTGGCTCGTTTTTATTCGAAAATATTTTTTTGTGAGAATACTTTTAAAGTACGTATAGATTGAGCTCAGGTCACTGATCATGACTTAATTTTGAAAATTGGATGTAAAATTTTACCAGACCGACTCCACCACAACCATCCAATCATAGTTGGAAATGTACGCACTTGTTTTGGAACTTTGTATCAAGATGGCTGGCGACAACGCCAGGTGGCGTTGGCGTGTTTTGCATGTATTAACGAAACACAGAAAAATACCACCAAAATGAGGAATCTGAATCTGTTCTCTTACCAGCAAATAAAATGAACGAAAATAAGGTAATTTTATAACAAGAACAGTTTCATTTCGTATAGCAAATTGTGTTGTATCCGAATGACGATTGCATCGTGTGATTTAAATTTATCACGTTTTTTCTTGCAGTCAATATGACACTCGTCACCTTGCAGATTGCAATGTACTTCACATAGTTTTTGGTACCCGATACTCGCAACATTAAATAATTAAACAAGATATCTTTTTAAAATGTCATTTTACTCTTGGTCATATTATTTTATTCCCCTTACCGCTTTGAATTTCAAATCGATTACATATCGAACTTCTGCACATGTGTTTTTTCTCTACTGCCTTTCCATGTGAAAATAATGAGGTCATACTCATGTCACAATACTTTGAAGCTGATGCCATGTTGATGGCATGAGACTGCGAACCTGAGGCCACGATGATGCCACAAAATAAGAGAGGCGAACACAGCTTCAATTCTCAATGACGCGAAGCTGATGCCACAATGATACGATGCTGAGGCGACAATGAAGCCATGCGTATGCGACAATGATGCCACAAAAGCCAAAGCTTCCGCGAGAACTGTACTGTATTCTCGTATTAACCTTATTATTATACAAATGTACATCTTTCCCTTCCAAGGATACGTCATGGGAATGCCAAAATCGAAAAAGTTTAGAACAGAATCAGCTGACTTCTTTGTGTGGAGACTGGTCAAACCCTGGTGGCAGCCATGTTTGTTTTTATTATTAGAGGACGCTTACGCACGTAATCATTCCATATTTGGAATTCACAATTCCTTATATGGTAGGATGAAAATACCTCATAAAATACCGTAGAATTACGGCATACTGGAACTTATAGCATTATGGTGACAGATGTATAATGATAGACTTTATATGATTCAATCATCAGTCTATAATTTATGATTCAAATCACTGAACAGAAAATTCAGTGCTTGATCATTGACTTGATGCACTATGATGCTAAAGACTCCATGAGATTTTAGAATCATTAAGATTGTTCAGAAAAACTTTGACAGACACGTATGCATCAAAGTTCCTCACAAATTCCATACCCGCATTAGGAATGCAAAATCTAATAGTGTCACTGCATATCATCATTCATGTATATCAGAGTTAATTTGCTTATTTAAATTGTAACCCACTTTGATTGTATGTTATCAAATCACTCATCATTTTGTAATACTTCCCACTCAATAGTATGATGTATTGCACATTAACTTGTAATGTTTTGATTTGTAGATGCTAGAAGCTTGTCTATTTGTATTCCGTTCAATAGCTGAGGGTTTAGAGTATGGGGATGATCAGTGTGTACAGAACTTGATGATGTTATTACCGCAGATACCCTTAACCAACAATAAACTAGCATCTACTGCAATGTACATGCTAGGTGAGTCATTATATACTTAGGTGTATATTTATTAATTTTTTCCATAATATGAAAGATGGTCACACAACCATGTCACATGGATCATGGTTTCCTCTATTAAGACTGATTTTGTAGAGAGCCCGAGTCAAAATCAAATTTCCACCAAATTCTTCAAGTTAGCATGTTAACTGCTGAGGGTGGGGTGGGGTAGACTGGTAAAGTCAGGACTTCTTTTTTGTTTTACAAAAAAATATAATTAATTGTCAATTTAGCCTTTTTAACGTGATCGCAAAAAATAGCGTGACTGCGAAAGAAATCCCAACTGGACGCATTTGCGGGCGACCCCCTGCGTTGGAGTAAAAACCAGATCAAAATCACTCCAATGATTATGCTAATTAAAAGTTGTTGATAGCATTGACAACGAATCATAGTGCAGCTGTATACGTCATCTCTTATCTATGTTAGTGTAGTGACCTTTAACTTCTGAGGTCCAGGTGATTTTGAAAGACTACTTATATATATTGGACATTTAAATCGACTCATTTTCAGTGAACATGGATGAAAGTATCGCCGTTGCGCTTGAAAAACGTATCCATCTCTGCGATCGAATCGAATCAATCTTTAAAACGTCACGTTTACTTTCACACACCCACTCATGAATAAACAATGACATCATGAATAATTAATATCAGTCAAATGCCTGCAGATGTGTCCATTCGGGATTTCTTTAGCGGCCAGGTTAGTTTTCGCTCTCACGCTAAAAGGACTAAAACAACAATTAATTATTTCTTTTTGTAAAACAAAAAAGAAGTCCTGACTTTGCCAGTCTAGGGGTGGGGGTCTTCAAGAAAAATAAAAATAAAAATGTATGTGACTATATAGGCGATATGAGGTACAAACAAACATTTGTGTATCCTCTGAATTGTTTCATTTTTAAACTTATTCTAATTATAAATGTGTGTTCTTTTTTACCAAATAACATACTAAGTGCATTTGTATAGTATGATTGCTTTAAAAGATTACTATATGATGGGAGATTTACTGTTGTGTTAATGACACAGTGAATTTAATAGCACTAATTAGAATTATTTCCATCATTTCAAACCTTTGTGCATCAGTGATGCACCATATGCGTTTACAGGGCACACTGTTTCTGAAACCAAATGTACTTTATGATCAATTAAAAACGGAATATTCAAGAGTTTCATCAAAAGAAATTCAGATATGTGCTACAAAAACAGCATGTCATGATAATTCATAGTGCAGTTTGGAAAAAGACTCAATGCAGAAATCAGGTGAATAACAAAGTAATAATTATTGGAAAAATTTCAGTTAAATGTCAAACATCAGCACCCCTTTTACAGACGCATACCACTAGATTACTACAAAACAAATAAAATTACAGATTCAAAAAATACAAAATTGGGCAAGGGGCCAACTTTTACCCAACAAGACAAGTGCCCCCTGAGAAATGGATTTTGGGATCGAAATGAAGGAGTGGGGAAAAACCTGCATGAGGCCACCAGACCTTGAAATTGGGGGTCAGGATGAAATCTATTGCAAAAAACGAGGGAACACGAGCTGCTAATGGAGCCAAGTGACCCCCGCATGAAGCATCCTCCAAGCTTAGGGGTTACTTGTCCTTACAAACTCACATTTGTGCAGACACAAGTGAACAATATATTCATCAGCTTACAGTACCGGGTATCAAGCAACAATATTGAAAATGACATGTTCCCTTTCATGTTGCATCTTGTTTGAGAATAATTAAAAGATAAAATTTAAGGTTTAGAACTGTCTATAAAATATGAATACATGTACGTCTGGCATGCATTCATTCAAAAATAAATTATACATAATGTAAAACATGTTGAAAAAGCGACATGCAATTTTAGCGAATTATGGTAAAATGACGTAATAGCGAAATCTTGCTTTAGCGAATCTCTCTTGCCATTGTTGATTTCCTGTTTTCACAATACTTCTCTGTCATGTGCAAAGCAAATGCGCAGTTATCACCTCCATAAAAACAAAGAAAAACTATCAAATGTAATTAGGAATCGCCCAGATTTTTATGTATACTGTATACAAATCACCAAGCCTTGGCAATTTTGAGTTCATAATAAAGTCATTAGCATCATCTTGAATTAGCGAATCAGTTCTCTCGCTAAATTCGCTAAAAAGACATGCTCGCGAAAAAGACGCGTTTTACAGTATACTCAGGTTTTGGTAGTTAGTTTTAGCTTCATAATTGCGATGACCTTTGTGAAGTTATTATTACTATGGATGCGCTTTCTTGCTTGCTAACTAAGATACATAATTGTTCTACAGGTGCCTATGCTGAGTGGTTACATGATTTTCCTGATGCCTTACAGACAGTGATACCACTTCTGTTATCAGGTCTCCATAATGCCGAGTTAGCAATAGCATCAACCGTAGCTCTCAAAGACATCAGTGCAGAGTGTATCCCACATTTACAACCATTCGCCACAGATATACTCAGTACAACAGAGGCTGTATTTACTACTAATGTTGTGAAGGTAGATTTACTTTGATATTACCGGTACGGTTTTACGGGAAATAAAAAGGGCTTTTCACAATTTACGAAGAAAAAAAAGACGTTTTTACAGTTTACAGTGTTAACAAATGGAACATTAAATGGTCCGAATAGCTCTCCGGCTCAAATTCTCCAGGATTGCTGCGCCGTGTGAAGAGACGCATGCGCATATTACCCTCGTAATGCTCTTCATTCGGTTAGAGGGCCTTTTACGTCTTGACATTCAATTTTGTAGTGAATTGTGTCATCTAGTCGTTTTACAGTTTCTAAAATGTAATTTCCCTGGATTATTCTTTACGATTTTTTTATTTGGATTTGAATTTTTGTACGTACGAGAAAAATGACACATTTTTACAGTGTACGAAAAAAATATTTGATTGATTACGTTGTACGTCTAGCCTGTGATTACAGAATTACGGAATTTATTTTTTCTATTTACGTTGTACGAACAAAAAAATATTGCAATTACGTTGAACGAAAATAACCCTTGCCCCCCCTCATCTTAGTATTCACTCATTTTTTAAATCAGGACAAATGAAAGAACAAATAAAGGAACTTTAAAAAAAAATGAATGTCTGAGAAACAGTTGGATGCACAGACAGAATTCAAAACACAAGTTTCTTATCAAATGGGAACTGAAAAAATCACAAAATTATTGATATCACAGGAAGGCTGCAACTTGCAATAATATGGATAACAATGTAAATTTTTCAGTCTAGGGAATTGATTCGTCTGATGAGTACAGTTGGTTACACATTGTCATCTCTGAGATTATCGAGTACAATGAGTTATTTAGACGTCTTGGTAGGACCTATTGTACAACAGTTAGAAGCATTAACCAGCGAACAGGTGAGATATTATCACAGTAAAGTGTTACTCATAGCACTACTATATTAGATGAGAAGTTGATTTTATTCTGTGAGTCAGTCACTTAAGCTGTTTGTTGAGTGTAGAATCAACTCCAAATCCTATATGGCGATGATGTATGTAACTTGGACCTACTATTGTGTCCATTTTATGCATGTGAATAGTCTGGAAAATACAATGTGAAATACAAGTTATCAAGACTACTGTAGAATACTTTATTTTCGCTTGGAATTTATTTTCGCTATTTTCGCTGAAGGGATGATTCCGTGAAAATAAAATCCAGCGAATATACTTTTTTTCCTATATTTCATATTAAACTCATCAAAAATCAGTGAAAATAAATTCCAAGCAAAACGCCCAAAAAGCCTTTTCAGCGAAAATTAATTCCAGCGAAAATAAAGTATTCCACAGTATCTGTTTTGTTACTTGTCACCTTGTCTCATAGCCTGACATGTAGGCCTAGTAGCGCCCTCGCAGGCCGAACGGCATCAGACCTCACCTCACTGTGTTGGGTCTGGAGCACTGCGGAGGGCGCAACTCGTCAGGCTACTTGTCTTATCTCTGTGGCATCAGTTCTTCGTATGAATTACTGTGCAAAGTATGAACCACAGGCGATGCAGGCATAATAACCAATAATTGCATTCTTGTATATGCGTAACAAGCATTCACACATGTACATGAAACAGTCACATAGCTGCCTTGGCATATATGCATGACAAACACACATAGCACATACAAGAAATTAAAAAAAAATTGTGTTTTTATCTATTCATTCAATATTGAAACATGCAAGCAATGAAACCCCAGCCGGATCGGAATGATTCTTCTATTAATTCTATTAACAAACCCATTCCTTTCATTTTTATAATTCAAACTGAATTGAGAGGTTTCTATTGGCCGATAATAATTTTAATAATTATAATATTGGAACATTTTCAAATGACATCACTGCACACTGTACTCATTGATTGAATTCAACTGAAATTGATTTTTTTCTAAAAATGAAATAGATTTGTTGTGTTGGTAGTATTACTATACAGATCCATATTCTGTCAAAGTCAACTACCAACCAACATACAATGTATAATTTAACTATATTTTGGGTATGAATCATATATTTAACTTTTATTAATTTCTCACCACCAGTTCCCTCTTTTCATAACAAAACAAAACAGAAGACTGGGACAAAAATAGCCAAATTTTTGGAGTTCTGTAAAAACTCAAAATTGACTAAAATTTTGTCTGTTGACTTCAAACTTACAGTTCATTTCCAGAAATATTGAAAAATGCAATAATAGAGTGCAGAAAAATTTGAGCAAGGAAGTCTGGTGGTGAAAAGGTTCATATGTAACTGTAGTATGTGATATTCAGTTTTCCTTGTTCTACACCTCAAAATGTGTATATTTTTGTACCTGTTTCTATAATATATCTAAATTAGATAATATATCTGAACCCCATGGGTGTTGTGTATTCTGCTTTGTTTTCTTTCGCTTACCATGTGTCTTGTATCTATCACAGCCGTCTGCCATCACAAAGTCTGGAATTCATGTACGTATCAATATGCTGTCAATGTTGTTTTCAACACTGGACTACAGACGACCAGATAACACTGAGGAAGGCACAACAAAGAAGCAACCAGCGCCACCGCAGTCTGAAGAAACCCAGCCAGTATTGTTGGTTTTACAACAAGTGTTTCCTCTGATTCAAAAGATTGTTTCTGTGTGGTTAACAGACACTGGTATTATTGAGGTCAGTTTAGTTAGAACTGCCATGATAATTATGTCTTTATTAATTAAATTAATGGTAGCCTTTATAAGGAGGATATAGCTTACACAGTCTGAAGTTGCACGGTGCAAACATCCATGCTTGCAAGGGTGCTGTATGACACAGGGCAGCAAGAGCTTCATTCAGGCCATAAAATGTTGATATATAGTAGGATCGTTTTTGCTTTAAGCTACTTATACTGGTGTTTAAATTACCTAGTATCACTTCTCATTTCGCTGATGCAGTACATACATACGTGACTGTGACTACTCTCTTGGTGTGGGTTTGTCGGTGACTGAACTGGAATGCTAAACTAGCCGCACTCAGGAATGGTGGTCATTGCGCTGCCGTATATAATCTGATGATGCAAGGTTGTTTTAATTTTCAGGACGTTTGTGAATTGCTGAAACGAGCTCAGCGAACCTTACTTGATGACATGGCTCCACTAGTACCTCAGTTATCACAGATTATTGTACAGATATATTCCGTTATTCCACAGTCATCGGTTCTGGAATTAGCAAAATCAGTGAGTACTCAGTTTGTAGTATCGGTTGACAATTTTGTTATTTTTCAAATCAATTTAATATGTCACATTCATTGAAATTGTTATTTTGAGCCATTCAGTTTTTGTATCACCATGGATTTATAAGATGATTTCTGTCAATATTTTAACCAGTGGCATCAAAAAACTCAGTACACGCTTGGGAATATGTGATCGTGTTTATGGAAATGAGTGAGATTATCTTCATAATAACAAATAGCGCATTCACATATTTCCATAACATGCTTTGTGAATAAGGACTTTTGCAAAAAAAAAAAAAAAAACATCCGGTGACACTAATCAGTTTTCACAGAATCATTTGCATTTTATCTGAATATTATCATGAATCCATATGCACTGCTATTCAGGGTTTAGGTGTCTGTGTGTGATCAAGCATGGCAGATTGATTTGTTAAAACTGAGTGCCCCTCACTTGCTTAGAATGCTGTATGGGTCATAAGTATGGTTTGCATTAAGTGCGTGAAAAATTGTTTAAATAACAGGGCTCAGACAGGTATGTTTGCTTAAATCATGGGCTCAAAGTTTGACATCATAATTAAAATTTGTAATAATGCAAGGGATCACATAGACATTATTGAAGTAATCTATTCTTTTTTTGCAAACAAATATTTGCAAGGGATGCATACATTTAAATACCCCCGGTAGGTTTTATGTCGTATGATTTCAGAATATGCAAGCTTTTGCTTTGTAAATGGAATTTTAGCAAAAACCAACTGGTTTTAATATGGCAAATTTTTGTTCATGTATTTCTTTTTGGTTTTCGCCATAAGTTTTGTCTATTTTTAGATTGTTATGAACATTTCATGTGGAGGAGGGTTATACACAATCATTTTGTAGATTGTGCCAGTTGACAATAGCACCCAAAGAGTTAATTGGTCACAGACTGCTTTCAATACTTTTAAACTACCGGTACATGTACATGTAGTTATGAATTTTCAAACATTTTTGCTTAGCTTAATGTATTAGCACCTTGTGTGCTACTTTATTTATTCAATGGTTCAATAACTTATTATTTATTTAATATTTAGTACTACTATTTGAATATTTAAATTTTTTTGTAAATTTTGAAACTTGTTGTCTCATCAGAAAAAATAACCACGGGTGATTTTAATGTTTGTAGGTTCTCAAATGTTAATCTAATCGCCTGTCTGTTTATGTAGTTGGCGGCAATTTCTGTGTGTTTGATTTCAGTTAATGATGTTATTCTCTACTGATGAAGCCCAATTACCAACACTCAAGTCTTTATATGTATCATTATCTACCAAAACCTTGAGTATATTTCAGACTGCAGGTATGTATAATGTTATGAGACAGTACATCAGCGCATTGACCTTCGCTGCGCGTTGGTCGATACTCTCGCAATACTGTCTTCATGCATACTTTGAGGTATTCTCATAATAACCCTATTATTATACATCTTATCCTTCCAAGAATACATCCTGGGCATGCCGAAATCCAATATGTTTAGAACTTCTTTGTGTGGAGTCCGGTCAAACCCTGAAGTCCGAAAACGGGGACTTGTAATTCGGTCTCTGTCCGTCTGTGCGTCCGTCCGGAGTCATATTTCAGAATCCCTTGGGCCGACTCTGTTCATTCTTTGCATGTGCCTAGTACTTTATGTGGGACATATGCACATGCAATAATTTAGCGATTCAATTCAAAATGGCCGACTGGCAGCCATCTTGTTTTTTGAAATGTTGTATTTTGGACATGCTTTGTCAGTTTGTTGTTTAGTACATAGATCATACATGTTAGGATACATGTCCCTGACCGTTCGTAAGTTCCGAGTCTGTCCGTCCGTCCGTGCATCAGTCTGTCCAGAGTCATATTTCAGAATCCTGTGGACCGATTCCATTCATTCTTTGCATGTGTCTAGTACCTTATGTGGGACATATGCACATGCAGTGGTTTAGAGATTCGATTCAAAATGGCCGACTGGCAGCCATCTTGTTTTTTGTAAAATGTTGTATTTTGGACATGCTTTGTCAGTTGTCATTCAAACTTGGTACAT